GGTCGGAGGGCGACGTGGAGGGTCGGAGGGCGGCGTGGAGGGTCGGAGGGCGACGTGGAGGGTCGGAGGGCAGCGTGGAGGGTCGGAGGGCGACGTGGAGGGTCGGAGGGCGGCGTGGAGGGTCGGAGGGCGGCGTGGAGAGTCGGAGGGCAGCGTGAAGGATTGGAGGACAGCGTGGAGGGTCGGAAGGCGGCGTAGAGGGTCGGAGGGCGGCGTAGAGGGTTGGAGGGCGACGTGAAGGATTGGAGGACAGCGTGGAGGGTCGGAGGGCGGCGTAGAGGGTTGGAGGGCGACGTGAAGGATTGGAGGACAGCGTGGAGGGTCGGAGGGCGGCGTAGAGGGTTGGAGGGCGACGTGGAGGGTTGGAGGGCGACGTGGAGGGTTGGATGGCGGCATGGAGGGTCGGAGGGCGGCGTGGAGGGTCGGAGGGCGGCGTAGAGGGTTGGAGGGCGACGTGAAGGATTGGAGGACAGCGTGGAGGGTCGGAGGGCGGCGTAGATGGTTGGAGGGCGACGTGAAGGATTGGAGGACAGCGTGGAGGGTCGGAGGGCGGCGTAGAGGGTTGGAGGGCGACGTGGAGGGTTGGAGGGCGGCGTGGAGGGTCGGAGGGCGGCGTGGAGGGTCGGAGGGCGGCGTGGAGGGTCGGAGGGCGGCGTGGAGGGTCGGAGGGCGGCGTGGAAGGAAGGAAGGAAGGACGCCGACCAGGCCAGAATAGAACCTAAGGGAGGAAATAAGTAATCCTAAACTGGATATTACCTTCAATAGAATTAGAATTATGGACGACGACGATGCCGCAAAATGCATTATAACGACGCCGGAATCAGCTGAAACCTTGCAGGAAGATGCCGCCACCACTCACACACACATCCCCAGAGAGGTCCCCACTGGATAACATTGCTTTAAACATCCCCCAGAGGGATCACCAGTCGATAGAAACGTCGGCTGGAGCCTAATATTTCAGGACGTGGAACATCTTCCAAAGCTTGGGGCAGATGGTTCCTCTCTCCCTAAACCTCACTTTAGGAACATGGGGTCAATTTTTGTTTGTGGTTAGAGTCTGGAAGGGTTAACTGAGGTGGAATGGGTACTAGCAGGTACTAGTTAACTAGGTACTAGTTAACTGCTGTAGCTGAAGAGACTGGACGAGGCGACTCCTGCAGGTGCCACAAGGTACAAACGCTCAGCAGCGCAAATTTCTCGAAACACAGAGAGGGGGTAGACAAGCCCCTTCCCCATCTCCCTGCCGGCCCCCTTCAAGAACCTTGTGGGGCGAGGCAGACAAAAACATGAAACCAACGTAACAAAGATGACGGAGGAGGATAACCCCTGCAGGGTGATGCGGTGACGACCTCAGTACGGGTCCGTCCGGCCCCGATACCATCGCCCAGCGCCTGACAGCAGACATCGGTCTTTAAAACCCGCGACGGAGGGAGACTCTTCTACCCGTGTGGTGTCTCTCGCCGGCTCCAGATAATACGACAGAAAAACATGAACTCAGATTTGGATCCCGAGTGAAAATTTAGCGAGTGGAGGCTGTCTTTGTCGGGGCGAGGAGGGTACGGGGTGCGCATAATGGTCCCGAGTCTCGCTGGTATGCATTTAAATGAGTTCGTCTTGGTGGTGTGATTAATGTTTCGCGTTTATTACTCCTCGTGCGCCCACACGCAACGCCCCGCTTGCCAACAAATAAAAATAGGAAACAAAAGCATCACTGTGCTTGTCGCAGGCCACGAACACGCGCTTATAAAATTACTGACAGTACAAATCCTCCAAGTGAGAAAAAAATACGAATGTGACATTTACAGTAATTTACAAAACAAGTAATTTAAGCGCTAACACTCAACACTCGGCTTCTCGTGGTCCTGGATAAATCAAATTTTGGCATCTTGTGAAATTATTTTCATTGTAAATCCCCCAAGCACGAATTGCCTGGAACCTGACTCAAAGACTCGCAAGAAGCACAAGGCGGCTTTAGTACTCAATCTCTCCCGCCGGAACTAGACGGCTTTAGTACTCAATTATTATTCCCAGGGCGACAGCCTTGCTTCTTACAGGGTTTGAGTTCAATTCGCGACGGTACAAGTGACTGAGCAGTGTTCCTTGGCTCCGTCCTTCAACTCCAACATGTTGTCCCGGCGTCATATCCCCCTCCAAGAACCTCCAAGTGCTACGTAGCCACATTAGCTTAGCGACTTCTCTTCATAATTACTTAACAATCTCAATTATTATTCTGGTAACTTTATTCCTGAAATAACTCAAATAAGATCCCAAAGTTGGCCACACACGTCCAGCTCCCAAAATTTCGGGTGTTGAAGCGGACTCTTGACAACCAAACACTCAAGCTTATTAATTTAAATAAAGTAAACAAGGCACAAATATCTTAAACTCGAGATGGTGATTATTTAAATCCCTCGGCGTATTGAATATATCCTTCGCCGTCCTGTATAAATCCCTCCCCGTCCTGTGTAAATCCCTCCCCGTCCTGTATAAATCCCTCGGCGTCCTGTACAAACCCCTCGGCGACCTATACAAACCCCTCGGCGTCCTGTATAAATTCCTCGGCGTCTTGTACAAACCCCTCGGCGTCCTGCACAAACCCCCCCCCCCCGGCGTCCTGTACAAACCCCTCGGCGTCCTGTACAAACCCCTCGGCGTCCTGTACAAACCCCTCGGCGTCCTGTACAAACCCCTCGGCGTCCTGTACAAACCCTTCGGCGTCCTGTACAAACCCCTCGGCGTCCTGTACAAACCCCCTCGGCGTCCTGTACAAACCCCTCGGCGTCCTGTACAAATTCCTCGGCGTCCTGTACAAACCCCTCGGCGTCCTGTACAAATCCCTCGGCGTCCTGTACAAACCCCTCGGCGTCCTGTACAAATCCCTCGGCGTCCTGTACAAACCCCTCGGCGTCCTGAACAAACCCCTCGGCGTCCCGTACAAACCCCTCTGCGTCCTATACAAACCCCCTCGGCGTCCTGCACAAATCCCTCGGCGTCCTGAATAAATCCCCAACGGGCGAGGCTGCCTAAACCAATATTAATCCCCTCCGGTCTCTGGAGTACGTGAGCGCATCTGACGAACAAACAGTTAATAACGAAGAGGACCAGAGTCAGAGAGTATTTAAAATTCCTGACGTCGTCTCGCGGCCAACTTCCAAAATCTTAGCGCGAGCCAAGGCGTCCTAAATGAACTTTTCCCTGCCACTTCAAGTCTCCTTGGATACTTGAGTCTCCAAACTTGGCAGAGTAAGTCCGCGGAGTGGTGGTGGAGTTAGTGGTGGGGAGGGGTGGGGAGGGAGGGGGGCTGATTGTGGTGTTGGTGGCAGTGTTTGTTAATGTTTAATTAATGTTTAGTTAATGTTAGTTGTGGAGGTGGGGGCCGGCTGTTGTGGTGGAGGTGGGGGCCGGCTGTTGTGGTGGTGGTGGTGGTGCCGGCTGTTGTGATGGTGGTAGTGGCGCCGGCTGTTGTAGTGGTGATAGTGGGACCGGCTGTTGTTGTGGTGGTGGTAGTGGCGCCGGCTGTTGTGGTGGTGGTGGTAGTGTTGGTGGATGGGGGTAGTAGATATGTTGTCGGTGGCTGGTGTTATGGGAGTGCTGTCAGCGGCCCGGGTCACCACACACGCCACACATCGTTTAGTGGATTTAGAAACAGGAGAGCGGCGGGGGATTTCGCCGTAAGACGCGGGCGATTTATCCTAAAGTTTTCTCCCATTAAATCCGCGTTTTCGCAAGCTTTTCGGGTCTTTAAGAGTCCAGGAGGATTTAATATAATGGGATTTTTATCGGGGATGCTGAACAGGACTTAAGTGTAGTCGAGAGGATCACGTTACTGGTGAAAGTTTAAATAATCAGAACATTTATGTTCGGTAAACTTACAGTGTCGTAGTGGGCTACATTTTTTATAGTTACGAAGCCCTACTCTCTCTCTCTCTCTCTCTAAAACCACGGAGATATTAATTTTGGATGAAGGATATACGTGAATAGTGTTAACAAGAGGTTTACAGCCCTCCTACTCCCTACCTTGTTGACCTGACAACTGGGTCGTTACGTTAAGAGGATTCGCCGTACGTCACTTGTCACTACTAAAGAGAGCTTCGTCACATTCCGGGTGGCCGAACGTCACTTTCTAGCCATCCCATCCTAGTACGTCACATTCATGCGTCACATCAAGTTGGGATGCACCGATGTGTTCCTGAGATGTGGCCCTCTCTTCTCCTCCAGCCCCTAAGACATGTCTACCACGCCCACCTCAGCTCCTGCTACTTTCCTCCCCGATAAATGTCTACTGTCTACTTCACACCCCCCCCTCCCTCTGTCACCTGTCTACTTCAACCCCCTCCGTCGCCTGTCCAATTCGCTGATCCCCCGCTCTCTCCCTTCCGACACGTCAACCTGGGCCTCCAAAGTCAACGGCGGAGTACTTTATATTGGCCAGCATGCACAACTCGGCCGTGGAAAGGTGCGGCTCGAGGCAGGCCAGGAACAGGAAGGACTTAGGAATAGTGGAATGGGGAGTAGATCGGATGGGAAGTAGGAGTCAGCACATCAAAAGTGAGGTTGTCACTTTGTCACTCTTCGAGAGGTAAGATTTCATGTTTTTTTTTTCAATTTTTTTGTTATTGTTATTATTATTTTGGTGCGGTTTATGGTAATGTCTGGTTGTTTGGGGGAGGGGGGGAGGGGTCACGGAGCGAGAGCTGTGCTGGGGGAGAGACACCACAGTTTGAACGATCTAACAAGGGTTGTTCTTGGGGGGGGGGGAGGGAGGACGAGGGGGGGAGGGACAACAGCTTAGAGCCGTAACATGAGCAACAATCGTCACTAACTCTCTCTATTTAAAAGTTTTCTGCGTTCAAAAGTTCATCACTATCATTTCCACGCACTCACAAGCCCCCACCATCCCCCCCTTAGTGATGATGATGATAATGATGATGATTGACGATGATGATTGATAGTGATGACGAACAGCACCAAGCTCCGTCCCAGTTCACCAGCACACTCACACATGGCTCCGTGCAGGGCGGCAAAGCGGGTCAAGAATCACCAATCACTTCCACCGAACGGCTTCACCGCCACATAATTTTTGTGTGTTTTCCAATGGAACGAGGAAAAGGCGAACAGTTTTGCGTGTGTGTGTGTGGAGGCGGCGTCGGCGAGGAGGGAGCCCCACGAGAGGCAGCTGGAGGAGCCCGCGCCAGCCCCTTCACACGGCTCGACTGGAGAGAAAAACTGCCGCTTCCCGACACACTCAGTTCACCATAACACTTATAATTCGACGCCGATCATAAACACGGACGCTCGGGAGTTTCACTACAGTAAGTTCAGCTCGAGGAATATCTTTACCTTGGGAGTAAACGTTCAAGTTGTGGATGTATGAACAAGTTGAACTTGTGGCACGAGTTGTAGGTGACTTGCTATCACCTCCGCTACATAGAGTTGACGCTGTAAAAGTGCGTGTCCTACAACGGGAACACGAGTGAACACTATGTAGTCCAACCATTTTTCTGCTACATCACTTTCGGAGGCGGGATTAGGGCGGGGCCTGGTGGTCTTAGGGCGGGGCCACGAAGGCATCCACCAATCACAGCGCAGGATGCCGACACCAGCGGCGAACTGAGGCGAGGGTGAAGTGGAGTCACCAGGCAACTTCTACACTTTTTCTAAATTTTCTGTCATATATTTCATAAAATGAATAAGATTTATGAACAATTTAAATATTTTTCTATATTCTTTAATCGTGTCTGGTACATGAAACTTAAATTCATGTTCTGACAACCAAAAAATACCTGATTTCATTTCTCTGTTACCTACTATGTGCACTAATTGATTGAGCCCGAGCCGGAATCGATCAAGTGAGGGCGCTCGCTGATTGGTCGCCTCTGGCCTATCAGCTCGTCTCCCGCTCGCTAGGCAAGAAACTATCTCCATCTGTCGACAAAAAAGGGCAACACCGTTTCCATCATCACCCTAAATACCTAACCCAACCAGACAGGATTCATTTACCTCGAGTGAGAATTGCTCTGGTGGGCAGTCTGATGACCCCACAACGTTTAGCAAACGAGCTACAGCCATTAAGACTGCCAGGACCCTCTCCCTGATGTATAGGGTACCTCAAACCCCATGAAAACACTGGTCTTGACTTCTCATCCAGCGGTTTCCCCCGTGTTGAATGGGACGCCCATGGAGAGAGGCAGCACAGTTGGCCACCCCCATCACCTTGTGGGGGACGCTAGCCTGCCCACCAAAAGCCTCCTACAATGAGCGGGGGAACTTTTGTTATGGGTTAAGGCTTGCGAGGGACAATACAGGAACCAGAGGACTCAAATGGTGCTATGGCTTTATTGTAAACTACTGACACACTGTACTTTGGGGTTCCACGTGTGTCAGTGGGCGCTGACAGACTGTACAGTGTTAGGTACCAATGATGTGTGTGTGTATGTCAGTGTGTCAGTGGGTGCTGACACACACACACACACGATACCCTCATACTCACGGTTCCTATACCCTCATACTCACGGTTCCTATACCCTCATACTCACGGTTCCTATACCCTCATACTCACGGTTCCTATACCCTCATACTCCTAGTTGCTACACTCATACTCACAGCTGATACACTTACACTCATAGTTTCTACTCTCATACTCATAGTTGCTACCCTCATACTCATAGCTGACATACTGATACTCTCAGCTAATACACTCACACAGCTGACACACTCACACAGCTGACACACTCACACAGCTGACACACTCACACAGCTGACACACTCACACAGCTGACACACTCACACAACTGACACACTCACACAGCTGACACACTCACACAGCTGACACACTCACACAGCTGACACACTCACACATCTCATACAGCCCTGCTCACAACCGGTATCTCTGTCTTAGACAGTAGCTACCGAGTGGACAGTAACTCACAATTCCACCCCAATTCCTATCGCTATTATGGACGGTTTGCACAAAGTACGGTCTTTTGTACTCCAAAACAGTTCACGTTTTGTACTACTGCAATTCAAAAGGAGCAAAACAAAAGATAAAACGGTAAACCTAACTTGTTCTGGGGTTAAAGTAGCAATCCTAGGCCTAATATATGCAATGTTAGGCCTAATTGAGTGCATATATTAGGCCTAGGAAATGTTAGATTCGGTTGTTATATTTTTTTCAGACTTACGATAAAATTATTCGTACATAACATGGACCTTTTTTTTTGGAGATGCAAGAGTTCATGTTTTGTACTTTTTGGAGAGAGAGAGAGAGAGAGAGAGAGAGAGAGAGAGAGAGAGAGAGAGAGAGAGAGAGAGAGAGAGAGAGAGAGAGAGAGAGAGAGAGAGAGAGAGAGAGAGAGAGAGATGTAGTAGATACGACAGAAGAAAATAGGTCGAGAATCAGTACATTAAAACACCCAGCGGTTAAAAAAGCCGGTTCCAAGAACTATCACCGTGCAGGCACAAATAGTAAATACACACACACGCACACACACACACACACACACACACACACACACACACACACACACACACACACACACACACACACACACACACACACAGACACACACACACACACACGCACACACACACACACGCACACAAACACAAAACAATGACAAAATTTAAGGGAGCCGGAATACGCAGTATACGCAAACACTACGCCCAGGGCGGTCGCCGATATTCATACACAACAGCATCAAGGAGATCATTATTCTAATATAACGTACCCTTGTATGATTCGGTCACTACCTCCAGTTAACGTTCAGATCAATATCATACACACCACACTGAATGGCGAGGCTTACTGTATACGCAAATGTCTAGGGCGGTATATATATACGCAACATTTCGATACCTGATAATGGACAGTTAAAACGCACATACGCAAACATGTTAATTAACGTTGTATTATGAAACTGAAGTGTAGACGGTAACGGAAAGAAACGCTAGATTATGAAACAACGAAGCGTAAGATTTTGACGCAAAGGAGCTTAAGATTCTGACGCAAAGAAGATCAAGATCTTGACGCAAAGAAACGCAAAATTATGAAGCAAAGAAACGGAAAATTTATAACGCAAAGAAACACCGGAATATGACTCACCCAATAATAATATTTGCTACAACTAGCGTATTAGTGAGTTAAAACAATATGCAAGATATATACATAATGAAGAATTACATTAGCACAATACGCAAAAGTATGACATATATATATATATATATATATATATATATATATATATATATATATATATATATATATATATATATATATATATATATATATATATATATATATATGCGAACAAGCCTGAATGGTCCCCAGGCACCTTATCCCTGTACATCAGGGATAAGGTGCCCTCATCCCTTATGTAAGGGCACCTTATTCCTTATGTACATATAAGGTGTACAGGGCACACCATATCCTGATAAGGTGCCCTGTACACCGGTAGCTCCTGGCAGTATGGGTTCGAGTCACTTCTGGGGTGTGAGTTTTCAGTTACGTGACGCAAAACGTGACGCAAAAATTAACGTACGTAACGTAAGTATTTAGGCGGGATCCAAGAGTCAATGCTCGATCCTGCAAGCACATATAGGTGAGTACACACACACACACACACACACACACACACACACACACACACACACACACACACACACACACACACACACACACACACACACATGGGGGTGGAACATAGAAACTCAGATGAGTCACAGAGATGTTAGGAAGTTTTCTTTTAGCGTGAGAGTAGTGGGAAAATGGAATGCACTTGGGGAACAGGTTGTGAAAGCAAATTCTATTCATACTTTTAAAATTAGGTATGATAGGGAAATGGGACAGGAGTCATTGCTGTAAATAACCGATGGCTGGAAAGGCGGGATCCAAGAGTCAATGCTCGATCCTGCAAGCACAAACAGGTGAGTACATATAGATATACACACACACACACACGTACACGCACGCACGCACGCACACACACACACACACACACACACTTTATTATGACTACCATAAATATTATCATAAGCTATTCACACAACATCAAACATGATTATGAACGGCGTCAGAGGCAATGATTTTTCAATCCTGTTGTTCTATCGTACTTTTAGTCAAGGAATGTAATAAAATTCTTCTCCCTCTCCATGGCCGCTTCTGCTCACTCTTTCGAGTGTCCGCTCGCTGTTTCCTTTGCCCTCTACTTGTAGCACCTACTCCCTAAGTATCGTGTATATAGGAATCAAGTCTTCTCAGATGCTCATTTCAAGCGATGAAATGGCTTGTTTCGGTTCTCTCAAGTTTATGTTCGCATATCTTTCTGCTCCCAGCCTTTTTGGCAGCTTCTTGACTCTTTAGTTTAGTGTGTTTTTGTGTGTTTTATAAGGTGCGGGTTCCACGCTAGTGCTGCATACTCAAGGCGAGGTCTCACGTACGTAGTGTAATAATATTGTAAACGCTTCCCTTTAAATGTTCCTTAAGGCGGTTTTTAATCTTTTAACAGAAGTTTCGTGAGCTTGGAATGTGAGGTATACTCCACGACACACCAGTATACTCCAAGATACAGAGGTATTCTCCCAGATATAGCGGTATACTCCCGGACACAAAGTGGCTCATTAATTAACATTTGATTTTCTCCTGCCTAGAGAGAGAGAGAGAGAGAGAGAGAGAGAGAGAGAGAGAGAGAGAGAGAGAGAGAGAGAGAGAGAGAGAGAGAGAGAGAGAGAGAGAGAGAGAGAGAGAGAGAGAGAGAGAGAGAGAGAGAGAGAGAGAGAGAGAGAGAGAGAGAGAGAGAGAGAGAATGTATTCAATTAGTTGTATTTACCTAGTTGTGCTTGCGGGGGTTGAGCTCTGGCTCTTTGGTCTCGCCTCTCAACCGTCAATCAACAGGTGTACAGGTTCCTGAGCCTATTGGGCTCTATCATAGCTACACTTGAAACTGTGTATGGAGTCAGCCTCCACCACATCACTGCCTAATGCATTCCATTTATTAACTACTCTGATATTGAACAAATTATTTATAATGTCTCTATGGCTCATTTGAGCACTCAGTTTCCACCTGTGTTCCCTAGTGCGTGTGCCCCTTGTGTTCAATAAACTGTCTTTATCTACCCAATCAATTCCTTTGAGAATCTTGTATGTGGTGATCATGTGCCCCCTTAACTTTTCTGTCTTCTAGCGACGTGAGGTTTAATTCCATTAGTCTCTCCTCGTAGCTC